GATAAGATCTGGTACTGATTAAAGGATCATAGTTTGGATCATCAAAGTGATATAAAAATTTCAAGAAAATGGTAAATACATTCAAAATAACTCCCACTATAAAACTAATAAATATTATTCAATATGACAATTGATTTATACACATGTAGGTAGATATACGTACATAATATAGATATATTAGTGAAAGTTTATTGATGGCGAATAAAAAACCCTTGAGCATTTGTTTTTGATTCCTTTACCTATTATTTTGTTTTATTTTATGTTCAACTTTTAGTAACAAATATGATCCGTAATTGATAGGCCAATTTATAATAGATTTCCATACGCTGCCATATCTAACTATTCTTCTAGGTCGTTCTTCTGTTGACATTTTATTGTGAAAAGGGAATCTTTTGATTAGTTTGTTACACGAGAATTTTAATTTTGGTGATCCATATTCACCGATTTGTGCAATATTTTGGGATACAAAATTTTGGATCCTATTCCTTTCTCGGTAGTCTTTTGTTTCTTTGTTTCTACAGGTAACATTAACTTCACTGTATTTCCTACAACCATATCCGCCAACATTGATTGTTGCAGAGTATTATTGTTCCGATTATCGTCATTATTGTTGTTTCTTGACAATTCGGTTTTATGTGTCCTTGTTGTTTACGTTTTTGATCCTTGGTCTTTGCTGAACATTATTATTATTTACTTTCATTAGGTTAACCAGTTGATCAATTAACCCTTGTAGTGGTTGGTTTATCACTTGATTCATTCCTGGAATATTAGGCATGAATTGTCCTGCTGAATATGCCGACAAGGTTCTTCCTCTAGAATATGTCATCTCGTAAGCCTTAGCTCTTTCGATTGCATCTTGGATAGTATGAGGTAAGAATGGACTTACTTCCATGGACAATTCTAATCGTAACCTTTCCGTGAACATTCTCGCTTTGATTCTATCTGGGCAGTTATTTCCCATGTTCAATTCTCCTGAACAATTCATATATGTATGCTGCGAAAACATTCACTGTTTCTCCAGGTAATTGTTTACGTTTTTCTAATTATGCTGTCACCCTTCTTCCATTGCTCTAATTCTATGTTTCCTTTGAAACTTTGGAACAAAGCTTGATGCTATAGTGTTATTATTGGTGTGATCATCCCACCGGTCTATACTTACTCCACCATGTAGCAGCTTCTGCCTTTAGTCTGGATACTACCACAGCTACCTTTCGATCATTGGCTACTCTATTTACCACAAAAGCTTGTTCCATTTCTTCTAGCCAAAGTAATTGGGTCTCGGTCTCCTCCATAGTATCCAGGATATTTAACATTGTTTAATTCTGGTGGTACAGCTGGTGGTGGATGTATTGCATTTACCGCTTTGGTTATTGCAGCTGCCAATTGTTGTAAACCTTGTGCATCCATTAGGTTTGGTTGTTGATAATTCGGTTGATTAATTTGTTTGGTTTATATAAATTTTCTATTCCTAGAGTTGATTCTTCATCCGAGTCACTTTCTGATCCTTCCAAAATTTCACTAGGTCCTAGATTATCACTTGAGTTGCTATTGTTGTCTTCTTCAGTTATGGGTTCCGGAGAACCTTAAGTTACTTCGTTTAATGCTATTCTGAAGTGGTGAGTCCTTGCTACTGCAACTCAGTAATCTTGATAAAGTGTTAATATATTTCCTGGGTATCACATATATCTTATACTAACCAATAGTGTTAAAGCAAGTTATTGTAACCTTCCAATGTCTTCCTCTAGTAGTTGTTGTTCGAAAGTGTATATAGTATTTTTTATTATTTTGGTCTAAAAAGACTTTTATCAATTAATATATTATATTTCAATAATAATAGAAAAGAATGCTGTTTTCCTCGATTTACTGTTAATTTTCATTTACTATTTCTATTTATTAAAGAAACATTCACAATTACCGTGAATTTCATTTATAGACCGCACTACACATTACCTACGCTATTTTATTTATCTTGTGTTTTATTTTATAATAATTTCTTGCGAAAAAGATTGAATTATCAAGATACATAATAACGGCACGGATCATTCTTCAAAAAATCATGGTAATTTGGGTCTCGAATACGATGTTGGAAAATGGACCACGTAATTTGCCAACGTTGCTCGAATATACCAATGACAGTATCTATATCTTAGTTAGAGAAAGCTAAATCACGACCATTGAAATGAAATGTTTTTTTTACAAATGGATCACTTGATTCCCAAACATCAAAGGTGAATATTATAAATTCCAGAAAATTACATATTAAAAACATGATAAAAAGTTTGTATCTTTCCACAAAACCAATTGAAGGGTTAATTAACTTTACTAAAAATACCGACTAAACTTATATATAATCACTAATAACAACAAAAAAAGGATTTTTAAAATTTCTTTTTTTTTAAAATAGAGCTTAATCAATTAATCAACGAATCCAATTATTTTATTGCTTCATTCTTTATATATCTATTTTTATCATCTCAACTAAACTTTTAATAAACTATTTAGATAGTTACACTAAAAAGAAAAGAAAAAGAAGAAAAAAATTAATTTTATTATTTTCATCGCTCCAAATCCAAAAGTACAATAAATCCAAAGTTTTAGCTTTTCCGTTCTGGCTTGTTATACATAATAAAATTTAGATACGCTTATTTTTATAAGTCTTAGAACTTTCTAGAATCATTTAAAATGTTAATATGAAAATTACTTCTTCATGAAAAAAAAAATAATTAAAATTTACTTTAGAAGTACCTCGTTTTAGAGAACTGCACGAGTCACCATAAATACCCAATCTGTATAAATTTATAATTTGCAACCTTAATCCAACCTGCCATTAAAAAATTTATAAAAATCTCAACCTGTAAAAAATTTTTTTTTATTAAACGATGTTAATACAAGGATAATATTGGTTATTTAAACATAAAATGAGTTACTGATTCGAAAAAGTGTGCGCTTATATCGTTATAAAGTGAGTAAATTGATATTCACGGGAATGAATTGCATATAAATAATGACACTATTTACCAAAATGGGAAAGTTAGAAAAAGACTTGTTATTATTATTATTGTCATAGAATTCCATTCCATGATGGCGTCCCGTTATTATTATTGGTATAATAAGAGAACCAATCAAAGTCATTCTGATCAAAGTTAGACAATGAATAGATAATCTTTAATCTTTTTAGATGTTTTTGAATGACTACTAAAATTGTAGTTTTAAAACTCTGCATCATTATTCAACAAAAAGAACCTCTTTAAGTGCTTCTCAAAAAAAAAGAACTATGTGCCAAAAAGATCGTCCAGTATTATAAAATCACATGATAATGATTCTCACATGACTTTTATATGAAAATGACATTCTTGCATGGAGGTGTAGGAATGACTCGTATATTTTATTATTATTTTTTTTGCCAATTATTAGATATCAGGTCAAATTCAGTCAAAATTCAGGTCATAATTACAACCTGAACCCGACCCGTAGTTATTTGACGTTAAGACCAAACCCTCTCAACCCGATGCAGGCCTCCAACTCGCTTCATATTAAAAATTTCTAGTGAGAGTCATTTCTCACTATTCTCATTTAAAGAGTAGAAATTTTGGGCCATATAATTTACCATGTGATTCTCCTGCCTTGATAAAAAAATATTATATAGAGAATTTATTACCGAAATTCAATTCTAATTCGTAATGCACGTTCACATACGTACATAGATTAAAAGTATCATAATATTATCACTATTATTTTCTAAATCATTAAAGATATTGAATCTAAATTAGAATTGATAATCTTAAATTCTCTTATCAATCATCATTGTATATTTTTGTAATAACAGTATAAATAATAGTAAATATAATATAAATAAATAAATAAATGATATATTAAGAACAAACATCATTATCTGCTTTAGTATTTAAAATTAGACCAACAATTAAACCATAAAGACCCAGTACTTCAGCAAAAATTAATATTAAAATCATTCCTACAAATAATTTTTGTTGTTGTGCATGTGCTCTTACACACTTTTAGAAATAAGAATATAAATACATAAATATATAAATGAATTATGTTACATTATAAATATAATTAATTAACAGACATTGTCATTTTTTTAATACTTACAGCATCTCCAACATCACCTATTGAATAGCCTGCAGCTAATCCAGTAAGTCCTACTGCCAACCCAGATCCTAGCTGAATGAATCCACTATAAATTATTAAGATTGAGATTGAGACTATTATTATTACTATAATATTACCATTACTATCAACATAAGTAATGTTTAACTACTTACGAAAATAAAGAGTAATCTTCAGTGGGAGATACTAAAATAAATAAATAAATAAATAAAAATATATAAATATATACGAATTATATAATATTATTTTCTTGTTGTTGCTGTTGTAATTTATTAATTAATTAAATTAACAACTTACAAGATCCAGTTATTAAGACTGCCATAACAAGACCATAAACTGCAAGGATACCTGACATAATTACTGGTAAAAGTGTCTAGAAAAAAAAACTTGTAAGTTATCATAATTCATTTGACAATTATATTAATATTTAATATACTTAAAAAATATATATATACCTTCATAATAAGTTCTGGTTTAAAAGTTGCTGCTCCTGCAATACCGATTCCAGATTTTGCAGTGCCATAAGCTGCACCCATTGCTTTATACATGTAAATGGCGAAGTTATTTATTTTAATTTAATATTAATTAACAAATAAATGTAATGGTTTATTTTATAAAAGCAAAAACTATATACTCACAACTAAAGATCATCTAAAGCAACAATTTATATCAAAATAAGTTGGTTAATTGCTCTTTCTTTTTTTGATTTAAATTCATTTTTAAAACTGAAACAACTTACGGCTGAAGCAATTCCTGCAAAACCAAAAAATGATGAATAAATTGGACAATAGTCAATTGGTCGGATTGTATTCTCCATTATTAATGTCAATAAATTAAAATTTATTTTTTGGAACAAACAAACCAAAAATATGATCGATCAACTTTTTAAAATTATCGGATCATCTTATTCAGGGGGTCAAACTCCAAATTTTATTGTATATAATCGTAATAATGTTGCACAAGAAAAAATAATTTCGAAAGGGTCCGATTCCGATTTAGAGTATCCCGTTTGTGCGTTGCATCAACTTTTTAAAATTATCGGATCATCTTATTCAGGGGGTCAAACTCCAAATTTTATTGTATATAATCGTAATAATGTTGCACAAGAAAAAATAATTTCGAAAGGGTCCGATTCCGATTTAGAGTATCCCGTTTGTGCGTTGCAGTATATTACGTTTTTGGCAAAACAATTACCATCCATGTATAACCACATATAACATTAAATGCTGATGAAACATGTTTGCAGAAGGCCAAGTATATGTTGCAGGATAAATTACATATTATAAATTTTGATTATTCCGAATTGGAGATCTCCAAAGCAAGCTTTAGAAGAACATAAAAGATTAGAAGTTATAAATTGTAATGGATTGCAAAGCTTGATATTAACATTATAAAGGGAAACAACAAATAATGATTATGCTAAAGCAGTGGAGTATCAATCATTAGTTTTAATCCCTGAAATCTTTATGTGATACAATGTTCATTTATTCCATATGAGGCATGCTGCAACAAAACCAGACAAAGTGAACATTGGAATTACCAAAGAATTTCAGGAATCAATATTGTTTTTAACATCATAATTGTATTCAATTGCATTACTAATGTAATGTGATCATGATATTTGTCTAGGCAAAAATTATTAATTAATATGAAGCTGATTTACATCAGATCTACTATGGAACCCAAAAATTACAGCACCATTAGAAGTATTTTGAAGAAGGAACAAGGTGAAAAAATTGCACCTTATATTTTTAAATTAGCAGATACTAAATCCTTGCAAACATATTTAGACAAAGAAAGGATTACCTATGAAATTTACCAAAAAGAAAGAAAAATAATAAACCAGAAAGAAAAGAAAATCAGTAGAGAAATAATTTGCTGTCTAATTTTAAAATAATATATAGATCAATCAAAGAATTAGGAAATCCTTCTAATGGATTATTAAATGAATGGGCAATTTATTGTGGAATGCAAATAGATGATTTAATTGAAATAGATTTAAATGAATATTGGATAAATATTCAAGATCAATTGCCAATTCTTTCTGAAATTGCTCTGGAATGCATATGGTTGCCATATCTAGTTTCTCAATATATAACAATATTTTAGATAGCAATAGACAAAATCTTTCAGAAACTTCTTTAAGAACTTTAAATATGATGTATAATAACTCTAGTTTATTAATTGGGGGGGGGTTTATTTTTTTAATTAAATAAAATGAGAATTAAGCAGAATTGCAAATAAAATAGGCAAAACTTTACAGAAATAATGTTTTTAAACGCCGCAGAAGCAAGCAGATTTTTGATTTTTTTCGTCGCAGAAATTCATCGTCCCTACAATCGCATCAACAACAAAAACAGGGGTCCATACATAAATAATTAGTGTACAGTCAAACCTCGTTTCAACGAAGTTTGGTCTGGATCCCCTTTTTTTTATTAATAAAAAATCCGCATTATTATTAAAAAAACCAATTTACTAAATAATAATAATAATACTTATCTAAAAATTTTAATCGCATCATTAAATACTAATTAATCAAACAAAATAAAATTCACTTTACTAAATAATGAGAAGACTGGTATTCTTCCATTGTCAGACAATGTAGAGTAGAGATTGAGGATGTGACTAAATTTAGAAAGTGATCTTGAAAATTTAACAAATAAATTTTTCTTTCAGTTCACCATTGACTGCAAAGGAATATATATCGATTGATGATAAGTTAACTAATAGTGAAATGGTAACTGAGGAAGAGATTATTAATTATCTTACACAAGTTGAACATGATACAAATATTTCCAATATTACAATAAAGGATGCAGCCAATGCTTTTGAAACTGCTTATGATTTTCTTGAACAACAATTTAGAAATAGATTATAATGAATTAAAAGCTTTTAAATCATTAAAGAGAAAAGTAACATTATATAATGTTAAAAATCATTATTTTTTTTCACCACACGCGTCGATCATTAATGAAATAGTTAAAATTTTGTTTTAATGACCATCCCATAGATTCGTTGACTGTACGCGTTTTTGTCGATCAAATAACAAATTTTCTTTTTCATTTATATTTATTTAATTAAATTTAAAAATTAAAAAAATGCCTAAAGAGAAATTAAAACGAAAACCACAAAAAGAAACAAAGGATTCGTATGGATAAGTATTGTTTATCGTAAGAATGTTGGTGGCAGTTATCGCCACCACTCGTCACTCTAGCTATTTTGAAAAATTGGCATCATGGTACAAAAAGTTCAGCGACTAAGTGACTTGCATTATAGTATACTGCTTTTTCGTGTTTATTTCATTAACTTGTGCTTCAATAACCATTAGAGCTCCACCCAAAAAGGAAGGCCGCAGAAGAAAGAAAGAATATAAAAAAAGTCAAGAGATTAAGACGCTTTGGTGTCTTATATATGGAGATCCTCTCACATCTGTCTTCCCAATTGATATTGACACTAATAATGTCCATTGGACATTTAAAAGAAGTCATTGAAAAAAAAGTTAACATTTCTGATGACATAAAAGCCAAAGATATCACACTGTGGAAAATAAATGTTCCATATGATGAAAATACAGAAGAGATAAACATATACTTAAAAACAATGAGAAAATATGTGTTAAAAAACTATCTCCTATGAAAAAAATTGATGATACCTTTGTTGACATTCCGGATAATCATATTGAAGTACCTACTATCAGTAGTGGGTTGTAATGAAATTAGTTATTGATGATTGTTCCATCAAACATACATTGTTTTCCTTTTTATAACTAACATTTTAATACTTTCTGCTCCTCTAGTCAACTAAACTTCTTTCCTCTCCGAAGCCATCACAAAGATTGATAAAATATATCAGAATCTAATAAGACCTATTACATGCTCAAAAATCGGTAGAAAGAACTTTGATGAATTTCTCAACTACAGTGAACCCTCTATAAGTGCACCCCCCTCGGGAACATAGTGCTATTTCTTGTGAGCGTGCATTTATGGAGGGTGTGCATTTATGGAGGGTGCACTTAGGGAGGGTTCACTGTATACTAAACTTACCCTAAATGTTGTGGATTAAAAGATCATGTTTTTAATTAATTTAGGATTTTTATATAATTCTATTTATTAATATCTTTGTAACCAACCAAAATTAATAACATTAATTCAATGAATATCTGCATTATAATAAAAATAGCCAATTAACAATAATTCCATTTGACCCCTGAAATTCTTGGTAATACCAATGTTCACTTTGTCTGGTTTTGTTACAGCATGCCCCATATAATAGAATTTATATATATTGGAAATTCTTAACATATTAATATTATTTAATAATATAAATTCCTAATTCGCTCCTTAATTCATCAATATTTTTTAACCAACATTCCTCAAAATACACATTTAAAAGTAATTTAGATTGACTGCCACATTGTATTGCCCAAGGTACATATTTATTGTATAGATTGTTTCTCTCGGTTGAATTCAATCTCATTGGACCAACCAATGAACTTAGTAAAGTCATTGGCAAATTAGTTTGTGCAAGTTCAAACCATTTTAATGCCAATTCACCCTCAACGCTTGTAGGTAAATTTGTTAGAGTATGATAAAAATCATGAGATTCTCTATATCTTTGCATAACATATGCTAACTCATCATCTTCAATATATTTTACCTACAGAGAAAAAAAATCATGTAATGGAAAATCAGAATGAATGAATCAATCAATAAACAAATCAATTTAAATTAACTATCCACCTTGGCTCTAGAATCTGGAGTGACATTTTCTTTTTCTAGAAAATTTAAATATTCTCTACCAAAACTTCCATCAGGCAAGCTTCTCAAATAATTTAAATCAATAACATTTGTGTTTACTGTAGGTCTGCTACGTAATATACGACGTCCTGTTGTATCATGCAACATCTTATCTCGGAGTTGACTTAAGAATATTGAACTGGTTGTCTCACCTAATATTGCAATCATATCTATATTTTTCAATATTTTTTAAAAAATTTTAGCAAGAAAATAAATAATCAATTCCACAATAATGATAATTAAATATTAATTGTACCTTGTCTTGTAGGATCTGAGAAAGCTGTTAATGCAGATTTTATGGCAAGCATTGATTTTTGAATTGTGGATAATGGTTGATGACTGGTACTGCTATTATAAAAATATTTCAACGAATCATTGTAATCTGTTTTTTAAATGAGTCATGAATAAATATCAATTAATTGGCTGATAAAAATTTCATACTGTCTATATAATATAATTCAATTTTACACTTATTAATAATGGTAATATTTCTGGATGATAGTGACTTGAACAATAAATATGATTTAGACATTTCTACCTCTATATTCTATCTATAACAATAAATGTACTGATTAATTATGTGACACGAAAATAAATTTTAATTTGTATTACAGTGAACCCTCCATAAGTGCACCCCCTTGGGGAAATGAGGGATGCATTTATAGAGGGGAAGAATTTTATTGGTTTCACGTGATACTAATAAAAATCATTGTTGACGAGTCAATTTGCCAACCCTGACCCAAACATGTTTTCTCATGGATGAGAGAAAGCTCACTCTCTTTACATTTCATTTAATAAGTCAATAAAAAGTTCGATCAAAAATAATTTTTTGGAAATGATCTCCAAAATTTTGATTTTATTTGCAAGTATTTATACCACTTCTCAAAAAAAAAAAACGCACATAATAACACCCGAAATTTTACTTATTTGTATGCAAGTCAACACTTTGTTGGCCGCCCATTATTGGATATAACAGCTTCTATTCTTCTCGGCATACTTTCTATCAAATTCATATAAATATTTCTAGGAATTTGATTCCATTCTTCATGTAAAGCGGTCTCAAGTTCAACATTATTTTTAAATTTATTTGGACGTTTCCGAATACGAATTTCTAATTGATTCGTTTGATAATTACGAATAGGAATAGAAATTTAAAAATATTTAGCACATATGGGGGCGTGGGAAAATAGAAATAGACCATGGTTGTGAAAAAAAAGCACCTTTGAGTTAAAGGTATAGTAAATTACTTTTAATTTTCTTATATGCAATTCGTCACAAAGATTAATTCTATATAGTAATAGGCAGGAATGTGTTTTCAGACCATTTTTATGTGATCACAAACCACTTTGCACATGACATATTTCCCACCGATCTATAACAAAAATCTTCGACAACTTCATCTTCAACAACGACATTAACAACCCAACAACAACACTAAAAACAAAGCAACAATGACCTGGTGGTCAATAAACACGAGAATGAGTTTGATTTCAAGGATGATAGCTCCTTGAAACTACCAGTTCGTTGAAGCTGGAAAAAGTTATCGATATCCAAAAATATTATAATTCGAAAAGCCATACTGACACTCAAGAGGTGCCCACTAAAGGTAAATATATTTATCCGTTTTTTTTCGAATTATTATTGTTAGTTATTTTTTTATTGAAAAATCAATATTTAATTGGTATCTTTATCATCATCCCATCAAACTATCAGAACAACTGGTCCGATGAAAAAGACTTTCAGCCTGAATATATTAAAAAATAAAGAATAGTGGTAGCGATGAAATCCGGGCACTCAACAATTTTTGAAAGAGGAGGATAAGTCAAATCTTGATATTTGTTTATTAATAAAAGTTAGAAATATATAGATTAAATAATGTCTTCGATGTATATTAATTAAATCATTCATTCATTACTTTGATAATGAAAGATTACACATTTAAAAATTTTTTTTTAACTACACACTCCAGAAGCTAAAATAAACTAATTCAATTTAATAATTAACGAACAACTTGATTATAAATATAATACATAAAATCTCATTTACCTGAATTATTCTCTATATTATTAAATTATCTAGTACCATCTGGCATTAATCCCTTTTCTTTTAACCTAATTATATAGATAGATACATTAGTAAATTAATAGAGGATTATTAATATAGAATAATTCAAAAATAACTACCATTGGTTTGGTGATAAGGATGCCTATAATCAATCCAAGAATTGTTATTAACAATGTTCCTTTACTGAAATCTTCACTTAGTACATCAAATGTTTTTGATGGTGCTTCTCTTGTGAACCACAAATCCAAACCATACGCAAGCACAAGTGATGTCGACTCTAGTAAAGCTGGTGATGTTATAATCCGTTTAACACCAGCAACCTAAAAATCAACAATAGGCCTTTTAGATTATATATGTATAAATATATATAAATATAAAAAGATCGTTTAAAATTGTCATACACTTAAATAATAGCTTAGTATAAATTTTTTATTATCTGGGATTGCAGGGTCATATGGGATAAGCATTTCTTCTTTATCCTCACTAGTTAAAGCATGCAGAGGTCTTCTAGGATCCAATATTCTCTTAGATAAACCAAGTATTTGATCAGTATCCAATGCAACTGTTGTTATCATTAAAACTGCGTGTTAATTAATAATAAGACAATATTGATAATAAATTATTTAAATTTCAAAAAGATTCACATAGAAATTCTCTTATCGCTATTCCATTCTTCGTAGTAGTAACACCGATAGTTTTAACACCATATGGCAACATAAATGCTTGTGCATTTACATAAGGACGTTCATGCGAAAATGATGAAAAAACAGGACTAATAATATTGGATAGAATAAATTTTAATAAACATAAAATAGACATAAGATAAATGTGGCTTGGATGATGGCGATGATGATTATTTTAACACATACCTATTTATTCTTTCATCTTTTTTTTCACTTTCATAAAAATCATAAACAACTACTTGATAACCTTTTGTTGATTCATTTTCACTCCAAAATACATATAAAACAGTATTTTCTACTTGAACAATATTTATTGGATGTATTTTCCCAACATTTTCATGTTTATATTGATACAATATCGATCCCTTAACTATATCTATCAAATATATATTTAATGTTGCAGTTGAGGATTCTGATGATGATAATGTGGCGACTGCAACCAAATGTGGATTTAGATATTTGTATAGAACTGATCGATCACCAAGAACACGGCCAAGTGATGCAACTTTTTCTTTTATCGCAATAAATAAATAAGTAAATAGTAAATAATAATTCAAGCATGCTTTTAGCAATAAATGAAATAAATTGTGAAAATCGCTAATTAAAAAACCAGTTAACAATCAATGACTTAATTTACCATATTGAGGTCTATGACCAATTGCAGAAATCTTTTCATCATCTGGAAAATGGATATTCCAAACTTCGGATATGTCAAAATGTTGAAGCTGTTATTTATTAAAGAGTTAATAATATATTATAAAAATATTCAAATTCTAAACATGTTTACACAAACCTCATCACTAATGTTGGCATTAACACTGTAACCTTTTAATCCTTCTGAGTGAATAGTATTCTCAGATAATGTAAAATAAAATGAAGGAGTGAAATTTTTAAATGCTTTCCTAGAGTTTTTATGATTTGGATATAAATGAAGCTATAGATATCGTAACAAGTATTGTGATTAGAAAAACTTTATAATATAATAATATTTAGATGATTTTCTTGACTAACTTTTGAATCATCATCAATTACTGCAATAATATGCATCCTCTCATCAGGTTCTTCAACTGGTAGTTTAAATATACGACGAGAAATGCCTGATATTGAGTAAATAGGAGGATAATTTTCTACATGTTCGTTAGATATAAAATCTTCCCCAGTAAGAGCATTTAGTCTGATAAATTTAATGTGGTAACTTTCCTAAATAAATTGTATTAAATAAATGCGGATAAATATATTGGATGTCAAGGCATACACACATACACACATATATATATATTAACATTTTATATTTACCTCTTTAATCTGGTGTCCAATGGCAACAATAACTGGTGGATATTTAACTGTTGATGAACGAACAACTATTAATTTTTCAAATGAGCGTATTTCCTTGCCAAAATAACGCGACCAAACAATCTGGCCCTTATTTCCAGTGTCTAAAGCTACTAATTTATTTTTTGTTAGGAAAATAAGCAATTTACGAAAACCAAATGTGTCCCTGTAAAGAATAGGTTTTCCTTTATCGTCTTTAGAAATAGGTTCTACAGAATAGTCACCAGTAACAAATCTTTGTACATATGTAGTCAAATAAGCTGGTAAGTCCTAATTTATTAAATGGCAGATAAAAAACTTAATTAATTGGAATTTCTTAAAGATAACAAACAAAATCCATAATAACTGAGGATCAAAAAAACAAGCAATTAATTAATGATTAATTACTTTAAGTTGTTCTATATGCTTAAATAATCTTTTAAAATAGCGGGTCAATGGATTAAAAGATTCAGTTTCTTCCGGTTGTTCAGCTTTATAATTATAATTATTGTTATTTTTTTAAATTAAAAAAGTTAAATTAAAAAAATATATATTTAAAGTACATTTTTCTAAATATTACCAAGTTCATCAGTTTCTTGTGTCCATAGTTTTCTTTCAGGCAAATCAATAAATTCAACTTGTATGGTGTGTGCAAGAGATTCTTCTCTCTCCCAAATAACATTGTTTTCTTTTAAAAAATGAATAGATCCATCAGCTGAAATTGCAAGCATACGATATGCAACAGATAATTTTTCAGTGTTGTTTTTAGGAATTATTACATCAATCATAGACTGTTTCATTTGATTTTAGAAATTGTTTTAATTAAACATATATAATCATGTAATCAAATAATGTATGAAAAAATTTTAAATACATTTGCAAGCTTCCCCGAGGATGAAATTGAATATGAAATTTCATGATTACTTGATACCGATTGTTTGGAAAGAAGGTGAACGAATTCGAGTTAATCGTTTAGGTA